CAGACGATTGGCCCGACTTGCACCGTTGTGCATCCGTCGGCTGCTGTCTGCGCCTGACGAGCCACATCGACTTCGGGATACCAGCCCGAAGTCGCCTTCGCCATCGCGACCTCGACGACGTTCGCGTGCCTCCGCAGAACTCGTCGAACAGGTTACCCGGTCGACCTGGTCGACCGCCAAGTGCTCCGGTCGACCACCAGTGCTTCTGGTCGACCACTGGGTCCCTCTGGTCGACCTACAGGTCCCTCTGGTCGACCACAGCTCCCGTAGAGCTACCCCCTGGTCGACGGACCCCTTCCGTCGACCAGAACTGTCAGCTGTTGTCGCCGAGCTCCCCTCGTCGACCGCTGCTCACTTGTCAGGTCGACGGACTGCTCCGTCGACCTCCCGGTCGAACTGCAGGTCGACGGACTGCTCCGTCGACCTCCCGGTCGAACTGCCCCTCCTGGTCGACGGCCCACCCGTCGCCCAGACCAGTCAGTTGCAGCTGTCGAGCTCCCTGGTCGACAGCAACACCACAGCGGTCCCCTGCAGCTCGACGAAGCCTGTCGAGCAGCTCTCCCACTGTGAACGGTCAGCTGCTTCACCCGTACATCCGACCAAGTCGTCGGCGTCGCCCAAGCTAGGGCGGGGCCAACACTCCATTCCTATTAACAGGTTCGACACGGACTTTCCCGTCCTGCGTCTGCACTCTGACAGAGGTGGTGAGTTTTCCTCCGACCTCTTGCGGGACTTTTGTCGTGGGGAGGGCATTCTCCAGTCGTTCACGCTTCCGACCTCTCCGCAGCAGAATGGGGTTGCTCAGCGCCGCATTGGCTTAGTCATGGAGGTCGCTCGTACCTCCATGATCCATGCGGCTGCCCCCCACTTTCTGTGGCCGTTTGCGGTCCGGTACGCTGCGCATCAACTCAACCTCTGGCCCCGTGTCTGTCATAAACAAGAAGTAGAAAGTTTAGAACAAGAAAGAGGGGGTTCACTAGCAGCAGTTGGGATACATATAGCAAACCCTAACTGGGTTGTACTCGCTATAGAGCACCCCACTGCAGGCTAGATAATATAACATTCTGACACACCCCCACAGCCAAAGTGGGGTGTAATCAGCACAATGAGCAGGCATAGCAGTAGTTCACAATTATGAGCAAAGCTAGAGGCACTCACAGAGGGCAAGTAAGGAGGAGGGGGGACTGTGAGTGGAGAGAAGATGGGAGGCGACGACTGAAGCTGCAGACACACGGGCAATAGAAGCGGATGGCACAGTGGCTACCGGGACAGCACCCCGGACTACTGGAGTAACTGGCTCTGCGGCTAACTCTGAGCGGCAGAAGCAACGGACCCACGGGCGACAGGCGCAGCAGGCTCTCTGGGCTACCAGGACAGCGCCCCGGACTACAGGTGCTGCAGGCGACTCGACGGCAGCCTCCTCTCAGCCTCCCCACACAGTCCCACCCCCTTGACACACACCCCCTGCTTCACCCCTAACTCCACTTCCACGTCACCCCCCTAGCTCCACTCCCCGCGGCTCCCACACCTCCACCCCCCTCATCAGCAGCTGCACCAGTGGGAGACGAACAAGGAGGAGGGGAAAGGGAAGGGGAGCACCCACACCGCGCACCCCCATGCTCGCCACCCCACACCCCCCACCACCGCAGAACGCACGGCGGTACGAGAGTAATGGGCAGCACGGGGGGGGGGGACGGGACAGGAAGGGGCCGCGAGCGCCTAGCCAGGGCGCCGCAACGGACCAGCAGGGGCCGCGCGCGCCTTGCCAGGGCGCCGTGACGGTCCTGCAGGAGCCGCGCGCGCCTGGCCAGGGCGCCGCGACGAAACAGCAGGGGCCGCGCGCGCCTGGCCAGGGCGCCGCGGCGAAGCAGCAGGGGCCGCGCGCGCCATGCCAGGGCGCCGCGACGGGACGGGCGGGGAGCGCGCGCTGCCCCCCAAGGCGCCACGACGGACGGGCGGGGAGCGCGCGCTGCCCCCCAGGGCGCCACGACGGACGGGCGGGGGCCGCGCGCGCCTCGCCAGGAAGAAAAAGGGGCCGCGCGCCCCCCGGGCGCGCGCCACACAGGAAAACCGGAAAACAAATTCGCCGGCAGGAAGAAAGAGTAGCGCGCCCGGGGCGCGCGACAGCAGTAGAGCAGCGGAAGCATTAGGTGGTGGGCCCACCCACAGGATCGACCCAAGGGGATCGACCTGCTCTGATAGCATGTCAGAAACAAGAAGTAGAAACAAGAATGAAGAAAGGAGGAAGTTTACTAGCAAGCAGTTGGATACATATAGCAAACCCTAATTGGGCTGTACTCACTATGGAGTACCCCACTGCAGGCTAGACAATTATAACATTCGGACAGTGTCTCCTTGCCGGAGACCTCGCCTACACTGCGTTGGACGGGGAAGGTTGGCGATGCGTCGGTGTTTCGGGTCTGGGGCTCTCGTGCCTTTGTCCGCGATACTTCCGCGGACAAGCTCTCCTCCCTCGCCATTCCCTGCGTCTTCCTTGGCTTTCCCCCTGACGCGCCTGGCTGGCAGTTTTACCACCCCACCTCGCGCCGTGTCCTGCCTTCTCATGACGTCACGTTTGACGAGTCGGTTCCCTTTTACCGTCTCTTCCCCTACCGCACTGCCCCTCTCCCCCCCCCGCCGCTCTTCCTCGCACCAGGTCCTCCTCCGGTAGACCCCCTCCCCCCTCAGGGTCCTGCTCCCTCAGGTGTGTCTCAGGTAGACCCTGTCGAGCCTGTCGAGGTCTCTGTCGACTCTGGTGCTGCTGGGGGTGGTGCTGCTAGGGGTGCTGCGTCTGGGGTTGCTGAGCCTGAGCGTGCGGAGCCGGGGGGTGCGGAGCCTGAGCGTGCGGAGCCTGGGGGTGCTGAGCCTAGGGTTGCTGAGTCTGAGGGTGCGGAGCTTGGGGGTGCTGAGCCTGTGCATGCTGAGCCTGGAGGTACTTTGTCTGCTGGAGGTTCTCCATGTTGCATCGCGTAACTACCAAGTGCGGTTACTGGGCAGTCAAGGGTCATGACCGTTGACTGTCTTCGACTGTTGACCTTCGGGTGACCCTCGACCTTCCGCATGCTCTATATGAGCTATTGCGATACTGATACAGGCGCGTTGCTTCGTTATGGAGTGACGCGCGAGTGGAGAGCCTTCGGGAATGTTATGATAACCTTTTGGTTATTCCAGCAGATAGGACTGTTTATTTTGTGTGTAATCTATCCTTTAATCAACTTTGTCATTTACATCTACTATGCACAATGTTTTTACAACAAGTCTTCCGCTACCAACTCTCTGAGGCAATTCCTATCCTATCCAAGGATCCTTACTCTAACATATTCCTTACTTGCTACTGATAGGAGTGCACTGTGTTTCTCAATTTACTATTCGTAACACGCAGCACTGAGAAATCATGTTAAAAATATGGTAAGCATTGAACTTTGAAATATGAATTCCTGATTTTTTTTATCCGTTCACGTTTGGAAGCTTCGATACTTGGTTGCTGATTGCTGGATTGTGATAAAGGCAACTTCTGCTTATCCACGCAATGTGCAATTTAACTGATGAGGTTAACTGAGTGCCTATAGTAGAAGGACAAGATGAACATTAATTAGGATTATCTTATGTACTACCGAGTTGTGAGAATTGTGAAGGGTGACAGAGGTCGGTGCCTCCTATTTGGTGTGCAAAGCCTTCCCTATCTCACCGACAACTCCCTCCGTCAACTAGGCGGTCCACCGATTTGCGGTTCCGGTGTTTTGCGGAGGTAGCGACGAGTGCAACATATGACCCGCCAAGCCAGTCGGGTAACAACAGTGTCAGACTTTGTCAGTTCCAGAAGACGGAGACTTGTTAGCGAACCTTTGGCATGTCATGTCGGCGATTTGCGAAGGCTGCCCTGCACCTGCTCGCCAGCTTCGAAGAAAGTGTGCGAATGACGACAGACGAAAATCTCCCAAAGAGGACTGGGACACTGAAGAAAACGTCGTCTTCCCTTGTCGTGGACTCCACCGTGGAGTGCGCTCACTTCCACTATGCTGTTCTCTTTCGCACATAGCACGCTGAATGTCGCACAAGAAACGTAAACCGTCCGATTTTCCGAGGTCGTGCGTGGTCTGACATCATTCCGCGCATCCGCTCCTCCATCGAGTCGCACCTGGTTTCGGAGTGCAAGGTCAGCTCCGTCCTTCATTGGCTGGCTCGCCCGTGGACCCGGTCGTCGCCTCGTGTCAACGATGTTTGTTGAAAGCTGAAATGAAACGAAATCAAACGGGCGGTGGCTATTTTACCCTGAATAAACACGTCGAGTGTTTTATCTGACTCGAGCTCACATCACTCAACTCAAGAAATGACTTATTCTGCGGTCATCAATGCAGAGAGCCTTTTCGGGTCACTTAAACCTTGTGTGTTCGCGGTAGCAGAGGGTCGGGACTCTGGAAGTGCCCGTGAAACACAATATATCAGAAGTGTCGCGACGCGGCGAACCTCAAGTCGCGAGCATGTTGGACATTCCTGGTTCCGTCGCCGAAATCGCCTCCCTTTCCCCATCACCCACACAAACCTGCTCGCTGCTGCCCAGTCCACCTCTACCTCACACGGTTTCTCCCCTCCGTCCATCCTTCACTTGGAAGTTCTAGAAACTCGAGTCAATGCTGGCACTGACGCCATTGCCAGCATCACTCTGCTTTCAAGTCATCTGGACGGGGGACGGGCTGTCGTTTACCTAGCCGACTAGTTTCCGTCATCGCATGTTCGTCCAGCTTTACATTCGAACACCTCCACTCCAGCTCGTGCTTGGGGTAGTGACGCGCATTTCAGAAGTACCGCGTCTGTCCGGTCCGAGGCATAAAGCGAGCATTTTTCGCACCCTGATTTCATTTGTAACTGACATCCCGTCCCATCTTCTAAGAAACGCGCAATCTTCTCGCAGCTCAATAACTAGAGACTACGCCCCCCTGACCGAGATTAAGTACAAAAGGAGCGTGTTTCAGAGTATAGTTGACGAGCAAGCTGATATAATGGCGCAGTCAGGAAATGCAGCTGCAGCAGCAGTACGCGTCTCTCCCCCATCGCAGCAACAGCAGCAGCAGCACGGCTGCGACCGCCGCGACAGGCGCGCACAGTCGTTAGAATCGCAGAGGAAGCGCAACAGGGGTGCCGATTTTGACCTTGACGCCTCGCCGTCCGCCAAGTCCGCTAAAACCGGTGCCTGCGCTACGAGTCGCCCTTCCTCCTCCTCCCCTCGCCCTTCCTCCTCCCAATCTTCCCCCAACTCCCCCTTCCCCTCGGCTTTCCTCTCGTCTCGTGCGACTGAGATTTTCGGCACGCCGACGGGACGCCTAGAGGATTACTTTACGCTCGAGTCGGCAGTGTTGGGTTCGGGGCAGTTCGGAACGGTGCGCAGGTGCGTCGAGAAGGCAACCGGGACGCCTTTCGCGTGCAAGACCATCTTAAAGAGCCGGCTTACCTCCGAATCGGAGCGCCATGACGTGCGACGCGAGGTCGTGCTAATGCAGCGTCTCGCTGCGGGCGCGCCTTGCGGCGCAAGAACTTCCGGCGCAGCTGTAGGCGCATCTTCCGCCGGAGCCGGCGGCGGCCTCGCGGGGTACAATCCGCACGCGGGGGTGGTGCAGCTGCGCGCGGTGTTCGAGGACGACGCGGCCGTGCACATGGTCATGGAGCTGTGCGACGGTGGCGAGCTGTTTGACGAAATCGTGCGACGCGGGCGACTGAGCGAGCGCGACGCGGCGCAGGTGTTCAGCCAGATAGTGTCGGCTGTCGCCTTCTGCCACTCCCGCGGCGTGCTTCATCGCGACCTCAAACCCGAAAATGTCCTCCTCGCGCGCTACCCCGCTTCCGCCGCCTCCGTTTTCCCCGCAATCCCCCCCGCAACTCCGCGCGCAACTCCCGCCGCCTCCCCCGCCGCTTCCGCCGTCGCAGCAGCCGGCGCGGGCCAGCGCGTCGTCGCGAAGCTGGCGGATTTCGGGCTCGCGATTCCGCTCAAGCAGGGCGAGCGCGCGCGCGGAGTCGCCGGATCGCCTTTCTACATCGCTCCCGAAGTCCTCCGGGGCGACTATTCCCTCGAAGCCGACGTGTGGTCTCTGGGCGTTATCCTCTACATTCTCCTCAGCGGCGCGCCGCCCTTCTGGGGCCCGACGGACAGGGACGTCTTTATGAAGGTGCTGCAGGGCGCGGTGGACATGGGCGGGGAGGAGTGGAGAGGGGTGTCGGAGGAGGCAAAGGGGTTGGTGCGGTGCCTGCTGCAGAGGGACCCCAGGAAGCGGCCGGCTGCTGGGAAGATTCTGACTCACCCGTGGATTCTCCTCAACTGCCTCGGTGGGAGGATTCTCAGGCAGCAGCTGGGGAAGAAACCCATTCCTGCTGCTGCGACTGCTGCTGGCGCGACTGCTGCTGGCGCGACTGCTGCGGCGGCTGCCGTGGCAGGAGCGTCGGCAAGCGTTGCTGCTGTGGCTGGTGCTGGTGCTTCTGCGGGAATCGAAGCACCTGCGATTCACTCAGCCAAAGGAGCTGCAGCAGCAGTGGCAGCGGCACCACCACCACTGATAGTGACGCAGCGGCAGCAGGTAGTGCTGACAGCAGCCCCGCCTGCGACTGCCAGCAGCCCATCTGGGATTCGCGTGTGAAGCGCTGACTTACGAGACGTCTCAAAAGTCATCCTTCACTCGACTGCGCCTGTTCCTGCCTCTCAATAAAGGCGGTGTTATTATCCCGCATCATGCAACTGACCCTCCGGGACTCTCCGGGTGCTCGTTTCCTCGTGCCGCTGCTCTTCCTCTCCCCTTCCAATCCAACCCCAGCTCCTTTCCTCATCACTGCTCCTCTCCTGCCTTTCAGCCTGATTCCTCTACCTAATCGCTACTCCTCTTATTTCTCGGATCCTCACGGCCATCAGCATGCCACGTGGCAACACAGGGGGATGCCAAGCCAAGCCTCATGAGCACAGCCAGCAGCAGCTAAACCCACCTGACCTGCACTTCCTGCCTTGGCGCATCCGAGTGTCAGGGCTTGTGGGAACTGCTCGGCTACAGTATCACTGATCTACACCACCGTGTATATATTCGCTCTTGGTTGGTGCACAGTGTTACCTGGTTACACTATGAGGCTTGGCTTGGCATGTTACCTGCCACTGGTGCATGCTGTGTAAGGACTGCTTCATGATGAGTACAAGGTACCAGTACAGGGCGATGTACCACCTGCTAAGCAGCAGCTAGCCATATGTACCACCATGGAGATGGTTTCTTCTGCATAACCTTTCTGCTAGTACATATTCCCGCACGGGAACCTTTTGTAGTTTGGCCTGTTCGCTGCACTGCTTGTGCACAACTGTCTGTCTTGCCAAAAAAAATATACCAACCACGTGTACCGTAATTGTGTACGGTAATTGGAAGTACTGTGTTTCGTCAATCTTTGCTTCTCTGCGTGAGTTCAACTTGCATCCACCTAGGCTTGTGAAGACAGGTACGGTAACGTTTTGCAAGCCACCGGCACAAGCGCAAAGCTGTACCTTTTTTTATGGCAATGACAGCCTGATCTTAAAGCTGACCGGTGGGTTTCACAGCGAAGGCTTTACAGTGAGGTCATCTTAAAATCTGTTGGGATGGCCTGCCTTTCCAGAATGAGCCTGTCACCAGCCAAGAACGTATCCTGATATTGGCATGCCTTTAAAGCCCGAAGTCAGCATGGTAAATTATCAAGTTATGTGGGTTTGAAATGGTGTATGCGAAACCTTTGTCAATTTTTAATATGCTGTGTAGGCTGTAGTGGGGTGCTCAACAGAGAGTACAACCCTTTTAGGGTTTCCTATATGTACTCCACCTGCCTGCTAGTACAAACCCTCTCTTTCCTAAAACCTAAGCCCCAACCTAGCTTAGGGTTATAACATGCTATCAGAGCAGGTCGACCCTCCTTGGTCGATCCTGTTGGGCCCACCAATCGATTCCTGTCTTCCTGCGAGTCGCGCTCCCCGGGAGCGTGGCGATTTCCTGCCTGTCGCGCGCCCCGAGCGCGAGACGTTTTCTGCCCGCCGCGCGCCCCGGGCGCGCAACGGTTTTCTGCCTGCCGCGCGCTCTGGGCGCGCGATGGTTTCCTGCCCGTCGCGCGCCCCGGGCGCGCGGCGGATTCCTGCACGTCACGCGCCCCGGGCGCGCGACAGATCCTGCTCGCCGCGCGCCCCTGGCGCGCGACGAATCCTGCCCGTCGCGCGCCTCGGGCGCGCGTCGGCTTCCTGCCCGACGCGCGCCCCGAGCATGCGGCGGTTTTCAGCCCGCGCACTGCCCCTGCAGCCCGCGAGCCGCCCATGCAGCCCGCGAGCCGCCCCTGCAGCCCGCGCGCCTGCCCCTGGCAGCCCGCGCACTGCCCCTGCAGCCCGCGAGCCGCCCGTGCAGCCCGCGCGCTGCCCCTGCAGCCCGCGAGCCGCCTCTGCAGCCCGCGCGCCTGCCTCTGCAGCCGCGGGGCAGCTCCTACCCCGCCCCCTCGCCGCCCCCCCTCTCCTTCCTCTCCCTGCTGCGTGTGCAGCCGTGGGGGGGAGGGTATGGGGGTGGCGGGCGTGAGTGATCAGCTGCCGCTCCTCCTCCTCTCTCTCCCACTGCTGCAGCTGCCGCTGAGGGGGGGGAGGGTGTGGGGGAGACGAGGAAGTGGCGCTAGGGATGCCGAGGGGTGTGAAAGGGGGTTTGGGACAATGCGAGGAGGTTGAAGGCGGGTGGCCGCCGTGAAGTCCGCAGCTCCAGTCGCCCGTGAGATCGTTGCGCCAGTGGTCCGTGAGTCGGTTGCTCTTGCCGGCGAGCAGAGCCAGTTACTCCAGTTGCCCGTGTGCCACTTGCTCCAGTTGACCGTGGGTCAGTTGCTCTTGCCGGCGAGCAGAGCCAGTTACTCCGGTTTGCGCCGTGTGCCAGCAGCTTCCGGGGCCGCCCACCTCCTCCTCTCCTCTCATGGTCCCTCCTCCTCCTCACTTGCCCTCTGTTTCTGCCACTAGCCTGTGCTTGTGAACTGGTCCTGCGACTGCTTGTTGTGTTGGCTATCCCCCACTTCACCTATGGGGGTGTGTCAAATTTTAATATGCTGTGTAGGCTGTAGTGGGGTACTCAACAGAGAGTACAACCCTTTTAGGGTTTCCTATATGTACTCCACCTGCCTGCTAGTACAAACCCTCTCTTTCTTAAAACCTAAGCCCCAACCTAGCTTAGGGTTATAACAACCTTCAAACCAATTATTTCGGCAAAGTCGGTGTAGCGAAAAAGCGTGGGATTGACGAGGGGGAAAGGAGTCTCGCCAAACGCGAAGCTTTTAGAAACTTGCAGGGCAGCGTGGGGCGACTGTTAGGAGAGTCGCACGGATTGTTCTTCAGCCAATCAGGTGCAAGTAGTGGAGAATGTCCACGCACAATGCGACTACTAGCAAATGTTAGAATAAGCAGGAATGAATGATGAACTTGGTGAGCAACGCTGCCATTCAGGATGAACGGGAAGCACAGGGCTGATTTTATCAGGGCAATTACCCTGATTTCAGGGTGATTTCAGACTTGTCGCATTCTGGTCCCTGAAATTTCAGGTTTAAAGCAAGGGTGCACATTCCTAGGGGTGGGTTTCGGGTGTATTTGTTTGGTACACCCCTTGGGGTGCTGTGAATGGTCGGCGAAGAGTCCAACCATATGAAACACTAGAGCGAGGGTTGGAGAATGTGCTGGCGAACACAAAAATAATTCGTCCTAGAGTTGGGTTGGGGGAACAGACGACGGAAGGTGAGGCAAGTGATAAACCTTTGCCTCCACCCAAGTGAACACTGATCCTGTCAGCGTAGTACTTTAGCGAACCCTGAAATTTTGTATACACTCACAGAGTTGTGTTCTTAAGGACCCTGTCCATACAGAGTATGCGTCTTGTTGACCCTGAATGCAACGTTATCGGGACGAAGCTTCCAGGAATCTTCGTCCCGAGATAACCCCCATGTGCGTAATCATGATTACGATTCCACCCATCTCAGGGACCCCATGCGCGCAATCTAGGTTATCGCAGTACACTACGTACCTATTAAAATTACTAAACATTTGGTTTCTGATTTCTGTTGAGCTGTAAACTTAAACCGAGCAAACAAATCGCGATCTGGCGGATCGCAGAGTGATTCGGCAGGAGATTTTAAAAAAACCATCCGTAGTGAAACACCGTATTGCCATGTGACTGATAGTTTTTACGGTAGTAATCAGCTGTTTTTCGCTAACTATCGAAAAAAAACATGTGTAAGTTATAATACTTTGTGAAAATAAACTAGACACTGATATTGAGAAACGTACTGTTAGAATAAGCAGGCAGGAATGATGGACTAGGTAGCATGCATGAGTACAAGTACCTAACCCTAAAGTGTTGTACCCCTTGTAGTCTAACCCACTATAGCCTAGAGATAACACAAACATACAGTTTGACACACCCCCATAAGCTAAGTGGGAGATAGCAAACACAACAGACGGTCACAAGACCAGTCAAGCAAGAGAACAAGCAAAGCAAAGCAAAGCTCAGGGTGGATCTCAAGGACACCACACAATCTGAGCACAAGCAAGCGGCCACAAGGCCAGTTCACATGCAGAGTTATAATAGCAAGGCAGTACACTGATCACAACCTAGCAAGAGTAAACAAGCAGGTATAAAGATATATATTAGTGTACAACAAGAGCAAGTCAAGCAACCAGCGGGTGAGGCAGAGTGGGCACAAGCCCAAGAGCAGTGCAAAAACGCTGATGATCACCAGACCCAAGGGCCTTGGTGAAAACATCAGCAGTGTTGGCCCGAGAGGCCACGTAAGCAAGGCGCAGCTGACGACGCTGCTGCAACTCACGCGCAAGGAAGTAGCGAAGAGCAATGTGCTTCGTTCTGTGCTCCAGTCTCTGCTCGCGACACAAGGCAAGCATTGCCTTGTTGTCGACGTACAAAACTAGAGGAGAACGAGGCCGCTCCCCCAAGTCGGTCAGCAGGTAGGTCAGCCAGCGTAGCTCCTGTGCAGCCATGGCCCCAGCGTAGATCTCGGCCTCACAGCTGGAACCAAGCACAGAAGAAGAACGAGTGGACCTCCACGAGACAAAACCAGAGCCAAGACTGAAGGTGTAACCCTGTGACGAACGCTGAGTCGCCTGGTCGTCGGCCCAAGAAGCGTCGGAGTGTCCTGTGAGTACCACTGAACCCCGTCCTCCAAGCACGAGCCCCATGCCCGATGTACTGCACAAGTAACGCAGTACCCTCTTCGCAGCATCAAAGTGCACCTTTCGGTGTCTACCGGGAGCCACGTAGCGAGCCAGAAGGCTGAGAGGGTACGCGAGGTCAGGTCGTGTGCACGTCATCAGGTACATGAGGCAACCCACAAGCTCTGGGTACGGACCACTCGGCTCTACGGACTCGTCCGAAGGTGGAGCTGAGAGCGAGTGGCCGGTAGACAGAGGAGTGGGCTGTGGCGAGGCCCACGTGAAGCGGAAGCGCTGAAGGACCTGGTGCACCATGTGTGACTGCGTTAGGGTGATGGTGCGCCATGCTCTGTCCCGGGTGATCTGCAAGCCAAGATAGCTCCGCAGCACACCCAGGTCAGTGCAGGTGTGTCTCTCCTGCAGCTCCGTCTTCACGCGGGCCAGTGCCTCAGTGTCAGCAGTAGCAAAGACCAAGTCGTCGACGTACACGAGGATGTAGAACGGCGGCAGAGAAGTGTCTGTGCGCAGAAACAGTGAGGGGTCAGCAGTCGAGGGAGCGAAACCAAGAGTCGCAAGTGTAGTCCTCAGTGTGTCGTGCCACTCACGGGGCGCCTGACGCAGGCCGTACACTGGTCGCCGAAGGCTCCACTGGGTACCCTCAGGAAACGACCCAGTGAAGCCCTGTGGACGACGCAACCAGATGGCCTCGTGAAGGCTACCCTGCAAGAAAGCGGTCGAGAAGTCGAGGGAGTGCAGCTCGTAGTCACGCTGTGCTGCAACGTGTAGCAACACC